GTGTTCTATTTTCCCTTTCTACAACCCCATTTTATTATGGAGTCCTAGGACAAGAAAAATCATGTACTATGCCATTTGAATCAAAAAGTTTTTCAAAATCTTTATTTTCAAATTCTCCACCATGATCACTTCGAACTCTGACTATTTTATAATCTTTTTTATTTTACACTTGGGAACAGAAGGAAATAAATACAGGGTATGACTCATCCTTGTGTTTCAAGAATTTTACTCATGCCCATCTGCTATAATCATCAACGATGACAAGTCCATATTTTTTTACCATTGACAAAAGTAGTTTTCACTGGTCCAAATAAGTCAATGTGAAGAAGTACCAATGGCCTAGAAGTAGAAACAATTTTTTTAAACTTTGAAGAGGTTTTTGAACATTTGCCTTTCTGACAAGCTTTACAATGGGCATCTGAAGTATACTTCAGATTGGGCAAGCCTCTAACTTATCCAAGTTTATTTAGTTGAAAAATCTTTCTCAAGCTAACATGACCCAAACGTCGATGCCAGACCCATTGCTCTTCTCGAACAGTCAAAAGACATTTTACATTTTGATTTTTCAAATCTGATAATCTTATTTTGTAAATATTGTTCTTCCTCTTGCCATTAAACAGAACTGAGCCATCCTTCTGACTAATAACTTTACAGGATGTTTGATTAAAAATAATGTCATAACCATTGTCACTAAGTTGACTGATTGACAATAAGTTATACATCAAACCCTCGACTAAAAGAACATTGTTAATAGAAGGTAATTTACCATTACCAATCATTCTAAAGCCAATAATCTTTCCCTTCTGATTGCCTCCGAACCCAACAATTCCTCCAGACTTAAGTTCCAAATCTTGGAACATATGCATTTCGCCCGTCATGTGTCGCGAACATCCACTTGGGTATCAAATCTTAATGCCTCAATGTTGTTTGTGTCACTCTAAGAGATCGTCGATATAGGCGAGCATAATTGACTTATGTGTTGTCGAGGTGGTTGAGAGATCGCTACCAAGGTGATGCAGTCGGCCTCTCAATTTGGGTTAGAAATGACTTAGGTTATGATTGATACGTAGTGACATTGATGAATATCGTAGGTTGAGTATAACAGGTCGATAGGTTTAAGTCTGTGAGAAGTAGTATATATGCATGCTTAATAAGTTATTTCTTTTTCCTTTTTATACATTTATTTTTTGTTAATACTTTTCATTTCAACCCATTTATCTCCAAACTCATTAATGATAGATTTTCCGAATGGTGAATCAATAACGAATATCTATGGACACGATACAATATAACCTATATCACCCGGTAAATTAATAACTTACTTTTTGCTTGTTGCTTTACCGCAGCAACAACCAACTTATATTTCGTACCTAGCAATGTGTTCGATGGTCGATTCATTATCATCACCAATAAACTTAGTAAACTTAGGTACCTTACATCCCCTAGGTAATTCTGCTTGTCGAATATAATCAGGCAAATGAAACGAATAATTAGGCCTTCGAATACCAAGATTTACCCCAGATCGTGTTAACACTTTTTCTACTACATTCACTATGTTGTTACACCCAACATTGACATTTCTTAACACTCGATCAACATCTTGGTTCCTCCAAACAAAGATTGTCCTAGGCTCGTATTGTTCAACAAAATTTTCCTCTTCATAAGTAGGTGCGTCCACCCTTCGAGGCCTAAAAGGATGCTCATTGTTACCTTCCTCTAGTTCTTCAAAAACTCTTAACGGCCTTTGGTGCGTCTGAGTTGGTTGGACCCCTAATGACTCAAACAATCTGCCTATTTGGTCAACTACATGATTAAAGGCAACTCCCATTTGCTGAGTTAGAACATTCACTAACTCTAAATTACTCTCGTCCATCCGTTGCCTCAAATCCATAACAGAAGTAGTATTCAAGGATGGTGTTAACTAAGGGACATAACCAACACCACTTGGTTGACCACCTAGGACATAACTGCCTTGGTTTCCAGTGGCCACTGTGTTTTTTGTATACGTGGATGAGTTCGAGTGTAACCCAAACATCATGGTATAAGGCACACCATATTGATAAGGGCTAAATGATGATCCTGGATCCCCTTGGAAGAGTGGTTGATTTAGGTCAAATGGTGATACCCCATGTCTGGGTTCTGTCGTTGTGACTGTTGTCACTGAACCATGAGCATCGGTCGATCTCACAGAAGATAAAACCGCCGCGCTTTGAGTTCTGGCATTCACTGGTATGACACCCACATTTTGCAAAGAAATATGTGTATGTGCAACGTTTGTGTCAGAGCGTGACATTTTAGACTTCGACAGATGTTTACCACTTCTTAATTCATACACACACAAAATAAACTACAAGTAACTTTGTAAAACCAAACACAAATACAAAATTATTAGCACTGCCCCACCAGGTGTACCAATTTATTTACCCCTGATTTTGGTAAATAACGCTGGCGTCTTAACAAAAGTTCACTTGTGAGATCGACCAGAGAATCTCAGTACAGTGCTTCAGTTTTCAAGTGTTTTTACAAAGTGTTTTCAAGACTTGTAAAGCAAGACTTGTAAAATAAAATGAAAAGCTTTTAAATTATAAACATAAATGACATAACATTAAAATGGTTGAAGTGAAGTTGATTCAAAGATACATTTCCCTAGCTTGACTCATTTTGCTCCTTAGTTTGGGTACTCTGAGTGACTAGTGTGCAAAAATATGAATGTTTGAACCTCTAGCATTATGAACTAAGTGCTTTATTTATAATACACATATAATAACTATTTTATGGTGGACTTCATTTCTTTGTACGCCATGTGTACTTTGCAACTTCTCCCCCATGTACCCACGTTCTCCATTCGTATTCTCTTTTCCTCCAAAAATCTTCACTTGCATGATCTGGACTATTTGCATACTCTTTGGGCTTTTGACGTTTCTAGGCCCAATTAACTACTTATGGGATCTCTCCTGGTCGACTGCACTTGTTGTCGTCTTAAATATTTTACCTTTTCAAAGAACCTTTTTGAATTCTTTTCTTTTGGTTGGATTTTAATCTTTGTCGAAAATCTCAGCCAACAAGTGTGTTAAGAAATTACGCAAATTTAAACTTCTGCATTAATATGAAAATTCATTGTACTTTTAACAATTCCAACGCATATTCAAACACGCTATATGACAATTGAAATTGGGTCATAGACTCGTGTTTGTTCCAAGTCATATTAGTAAAATTAAAATTAAAATATATACTTTATTAAATTATTATTCCAGCACAATAATTCAAATGTGTAAATGTTTGGATTGACAGTGAACAAAATTGATTATAACATAACTGAGTTTAGTAGAATTGATTTTAACAGAATTTAATTTAACATAATTGATTTATGTTTGGATACATTTATATAATAGTAAGTTCAACAATAAATCTCATTGTAAAAATCATTTAGAATCAATTTTGGGGAAAGAAACTATAAATTCTAACCTCAAGTAGAATCAATTCTACTTTGATAAATCAAATATCTCAAAATCACTCGAAATCTATTCTACTACTTTAGAATTGATTTTATGAATTGTAGAAGTCAATCAAAACATAAAACTAAATTTGCTGCAGTTAATAATTTACTACAATCAAGCACTCAAGCCTTTGTTGATGGTCTGGTCTTGATCTAACAATTCTAAATAATGTATATTTAATATTTATTATATAACAATAATTCAAAAATACTGAAAAAATGACTACGTCTAACCTCAATTTTATATACTGTATGAAATGATTTAGAAATAACTTTGATATTTAAAATTGTAAAATTAAATTGCCCAAAAAAATTGTAAAATTAAATTAAAATAAAAATTGTATGAAATTACTAAATTTTGAATCCGACGGACACCGATCCTTCAAATGTGTCAATGCATGCTTAATTGACTCCAGCAAATCCAATTTCCTCACAACCTTTCATCTAACTCCAAATCAACGGCCAAGATCCTCTTTCCCTCATAAGATCAAATTGTAGCCTCACGATTCCTTCTCTCTCATCACTATTCTTTCCCTCTCCTTCACCCAACCTGCAGAACCCTCATCGCCATCACCGTCTTCCCGTCGCCGGAGTCACAACCTCCACCCTCTCCGTTGTCTCCTTCCCCGGTAAGTTGATTGAATCCCCTTTTTCCTCTTCATTTGTTTTCCCCCAAATTTGGACCAAACCCTAGATTTCGTTTTCTATAAATCATGAAATCAATATTGTCTTAACGCATTTGTTTCATCAATTGTTAAATCCCTAATCCAATTTCACTTCTTCATCATCAAATCCCATTTCCCCCAAAATTTACTTCGAAACCTAATCACTTATTTTGATAACCGATGCTTACACTAATTGCATCTAAGTATTGTATAATGTATAAATTAAGGGGATTTGGTCTTCAATTGCTTGAAAAAATGTTTCTTTACAATTGCATTATGATTTCCGAGTTGCTTGAATTTGAAGATGAAGTGTTTAAAATAGAAGCATTTCATGTTTGAAAAGACTTAGAAAGTTGTCGTTTTCTGGGATATATTTTGGAACAGTGTCCCTGTTTGAAAATTTATTAGAAAATATTAAGGTTTATTTTTTAGTGATAGTCGGTTGAAACTTTGATTCTTAGATGTATATCTTAGTGGTTTTGGGTTTAAGTTTCGTGAGTAGTGTCTGACGTTTTAGCGCTAAAAAATCCTACGTGCTGTGCTAATAATCTGAGTTTTACGATCCTTCACAAGCCAACCCATCCTACCTATGATCTCGTGCTTGACTATATTGACAATAGCCCTTACTATTGTTTAAGGTTTTCTCCACTTATGAGTGATGATTCTATGAAACTAAACAAATGATTCCATGGATTTTAAGATTTGTTCTAAACAAGAGAATCCATAAAAGCTTGGTTTGAATAGTTGTGATTAGAATTGCAGTACTTTTTAGGTGACATAGTATGATTATTTGCTTGTTCATGACAGTTTCTATTCTGAATGTAGACAACCTTGAAAAAATGATTCTTGACAAATATGACATTGAGGAAACTCATTATGAGGTTCTCAGTATTAAGGAAGATGCAGATTATGAAGAAATTCGTTCTAGTTACCGAAGTGCTGTACTCAGCTTACATCCCGATAAGCTATTGAAGACATTCAATACATCCGGCAGTAACCAAACAAGTACAGAGAGATTTCTCAGAGTTCAAAAGGCTTGGGAAATTCTAAGCGACTCAAGCTCTCGCTTATTTTACGATAAGCAGCTGCAAAGTTCAAGGCGAGATGTATTGGCTGCTGAAGTTGCAGAAGATTTAAGCTTACATGATATGGAAGCTGAAGACGCCGATGAAGCATTAGAACTGTTTTATCAGTGCCGGTGTGGTGATTACTTCTCTGTCGACTCGTTGGAATTGCTAAAAATGGGGTATTCTTTGTTGAGAGATGGAAGCGATATATCTATACTCAATAGTGACACTTTACCAGGATCAGTGATACTTCCTTGTGGATCTTGTTCGTTAAAAGCTCGTCTAGTACTCAGTGTGGATAACCATTGAAATTGTTGACATTTTTTGTATTTGCATGGATACCTTCTGAAATTATTAGCAATTTTTGAATCCCTGTGGAGGGTTGAGATTATTAACATTTTAAAAGAAGATAGCAAACTACACAATAAAGTTCCTCTTCATTTAATTTAATCAATAAATTGAATGATTCAAAAGAAAGTTGTTTATTTATTCTTAATTGCCAAAGAATGGTTGTTATATTTATTCTTATTTGAATTCATGTGTTGCTTACTGATTTCATGTGTTGTTTATACCTGATTCATAGTTAACTTATCCATTTGTCCATGTCATATTACATCCATGCCCCATGTTGTATACATGCTTTCTAGGTGGCTGGCCATATGCACCACGTTCCTCTATTAACTATTATGTTTTACATTAATACTTGGTGTTTGGTCCTTGAATAGGTCTTAGAGAACGAGTGTTGCATTTTTCTGATCTTTGAAGTTACAAGTACCATTTTAACTTGGTAAAATCTAATTAGTGTCTATGTTCCAAAATCAGGATAGTAGTTCTTGAAATTACAAATTCACATGTTGTTGAATAGTGATTATAGTGCCCTACTATAGTGTAGTGGAATTCAAGCAAATCACTATTGTTTTACGAATTTAGTACAAAGTGTTGTTAAATAGCAGATATAACACTACGGTGTAGCAGAATGTGCACATATTGCTAATTTCTGCGATCCTAATCTAACATTAATTGTTCATGATGATATTGAGGTGAAAGTTCTTAAGTTCATCATATCATTGCCTGTGTGCTAGCTTTTAAAATTCTGTTTCTTCTTTCCTGCTTTAATTTGTTTGTGTTGGTTAATGATACATTTACCTCTCGAAGTTCTGTCTTCAGTGGGTACTAAATCTATAAACTTTAGACAATTCTCATTCTAATGTAACTGAGATTCTTATATAGAATTTTATAAGGTGTGTATCAAATGTGTGAAGCTTCACAATCTTTTTGGACTTTCTTTCATGTTGTTTGTCCAATTATGAATGTCGATGTTATTGCATCTTACTCTGTGTATCTCTCTGCAGAATGAACAGTACTGTAAGGTGTAGTTTATGTCGAATTAAATGAAATAAATACTGAAGATCTTTAACAAATATCATAGATTATGTGTTTATGCTTATTCTTACACTATTTTATTTTCATTCGTGTAGAACAATGGCTAGTAAATCCGAAGATCGCAAGGAGCCAGTAAATGAACAGGCAGTTGCAAATATGTATGCAGCTATGAGGTCAGACCTCAACCAAATCTACACCAAAATAACTGAACTGGAAATGGAAGTTAGCGAGCACTCGTTGGTTCTTAATGCCATTCAGCCGCTTGATCAATCTAGACGATGCTATCGAATGATCGGGGGGGTGCTTGTGGAAAGAACCATCAAAGAGGTCTTGCCTGCTGTGCAGCGAAATAAAGAAGGACTTGAAGAGGTTGTTGCAAGGCTTAACGAGACACTGGAAAAGAAGAAAAAGGAAATAGCTGAGTTTGAGACTAAATATAAAATCAGGATGAGGAAAGCCGACGCTGAGGTGAACGATGAATCTGGTGAGAAGGAAGGTTCTGCTCAAGGAGTACTTGTGGGCCCTGCAGGTGGTAGTGAATGATATTTCTAGTCTTATTCGGTTTCCTTAAATGAATGGCATGAAAATTTCTGCCCACTCTTACAGTTTTTTGATTGTGGCTGTATGATGGTTGTTTTTGTAGAGGAATTAGTCTAAAACTTGATATGATCTTCATTTTAATTGCTTTCAGCTGAAGTAAACTTATCTTCAACGGTGTAGATTTTTGTATACACTAAAACATATAATGATATTATCTAGATTATATTGTGATGTAGAAGCATATTTTGTTTTAACAGGTTTTTTTTTTGAAACAAAATGCTAAACTTGGTAGTTTCATATAAAAATGGTTGAATAATTCAGTATGTACACACTTGCAAAGTGTTCTTTTATCAAAAAGGGGTTTATATCTGTTAGTTGAAATGCTTATAATAGATATAGCTTCAACAGTGGAATTTACTTACAAATTTATGCAACCTTATTTTGTTGCACCTTTACTAGAGGTCTGTTTGGATAAAAAAAACTTCCAGTTTATATTTATGTAAAGCGTTTATTTACAAGTTTATATAAACCAACTCTATAGCAAATTATATAAGCCATTTCAGAGAAACATTCTCCTCTAGGAGACAGCAATTAATCCAAACCCTTCCATTAAAAAAATTAGAAAAAACCGCCACTTTCCACTCTGTTTCAATCTCATTCATAAAATTCTAAGTAGGTTACCCTTGAAGATGTCAAAGTAATATTCAACAGTGGTGACTGATGGTGGTTAATGGTGATCATAGTAGAATGGTTTATGGTGATCAGAGTAGAATAAAGGTTAAAATAATAGTCGGTCATGATGGAGGCAGCCAAGTATGGTGATGAGAGTAATGACCAGTGCTAATTAGATTGGTGATCATCGCATGGTGATCGATAGTGGTGGGAGTGGTAGTTGGTTTACGGTGATCAAAGTAGAATAGTGATTAAAATAGTATTCGGGCATGACGGTGGCGATTAAGTATGGTTATCAGAGTAATGACTAGTGGTAATTAAATTGGGGATTGATGGTGGTGAGAGTGGTAATTGATAATGGTGAGTGTAATGACTAACACTAATTAGTGTGGTGGTCATAACAATTATCGATGATGGTCAAATAAAATATCAAGTGTGGATAAAGTGGTGATCAAAGATGACCATTATAATAGTTGATGGAGAGTGGTGATCACTAGTGGTTGAAATAGTATTGGTGGTCATTGAAGGTGACATATTAGTGTTAAAACAAAGACAAAATATGAATTTTTTTAGCAATAATCAGGTATTGAAAAGAAAAAAAATAAATAATCATGTTTTAGAGAAAATTATGCAAATAATTATGTTTTTGAAAAATACTTAAACAGAGGAGTCAAGTGAGATGACGCATCCTCTTTAATTTTATATATAGGCGCCAAGTGAGATGGCGCATAGGTGCAACGTGTTTGTCCTAAGCCATCTCAGATGGCGCTTAAGTGCTTTTAAGTCTCAATTTTTTTTTTCTTTCTATTTTAAATAAGAGACAATAAGTAAATGATATAGCTTAATGAAATTTCGATTTTTCATTAACAAATGAATGATTACATAATGGAAAAAAACCATGCATATTATTTAGTTGTCCCCGGAACTCGATAACGATGTGATTCCGCACCCGCGTCCTCGCCTATCTCGTGGTGGGTTTCGTCGATTTTCCAATTGCGGTTGGGTCGATGGCCCAGCGAAGTCAATGTGTTCAGGATCCATGAAATATGTCAGATCATCATATTTGGAAGACCCACTTTAGTACAGTCGGTTACCCATGCCCTCAAAGTTTGGTCATCTTGGTGGAGGATGAGGTTTCATGGATGGTTTATAACATCGGTCGTCTGAGTAAGGGGGTAAAAAGGAAATGAATCTTGCGAATGTTGAAAACATGGTTTATTCAGAATCATAAGTCCTGCCACAAGAGTCTGAAATCTTGAAAACATCGTTTTCACATATTCGTTGTCTTCCATCTTTGAAGGCTTCATATTTTTGAATTAAGGCCAGAGCCTTTATTTCTTTTACTTGTGTGTTGCCTTCATGTGTCATCTGAAGAGAATCAAAGATAGATTTTGCAGTCTCTTTATCTGTGATTTTCTCATATTCATTATATGAAATAACACTTAGAATAATGGTTCTTGCTTTGTAGTGATTTCTACATACTTTCTTATGTGCTTCTATCATTGCACTTCTTGCAATCTTATGACCTTTATCGTCTACTGAGTGAGTGTAGCCATCAACTATCAAGTCTCATAAATCCGAGTCATATGTTAGAAAATAACTTTCTATTTTATCCTTCCAATAGTCAAGTTTCTCCTCATCAAACATAGAAGGTTTTGAACTATAGTGATCTCTATCATTATCCCTATTATCAACAGTGAAAGTAGGTGTAGCCATTGGTTTTTGACACACACTGAATCGGTACTGGACACTGTTAAATGTTGATAAAAATTCAAACTTTTTATCTCCTCAGAACCGGAGCTCTGATCCCAATTGAAGGTGTGAAAAACACAAAATGAGGGTTTCAATTGAATTTTTAAAACCAAAACTTTTCTTTAAAAATATTCCCATTAAGTTAAAAATTCTTTTTTCTTCAGTCTTGATAATAACAATAAGAACAAGAAGTAAAGAACAATGTATGTTTATACTAGTTCACTTGAAAATTATCAAGCTAGTCTAGACCACCCGCTAAGGTGATTTCGCCTCACTCAATCGAGGAATTAATTCACTATAACCAAATTGATTACAATTTGCACAAGCTACCCACAAGTGACTAACAATCTCTAAAACTCGCAAGTCCTAGACTTCTTAAGGATACAAACCTACCCAGTCCCTTAAGGAAAATCAAACAATAATCAATTTGATTATTACAATGCACAAACTACCCGCAAGTGACTAACAACCTCTAAAACTCGCAAGTCCTAGACTTCTTAAGGATACAAACCTACCCGATCCCTTAAGGAAAATCAAACAACCGTTTGAATACAAGTTTTGTTTACAAGAATATTGCTTCTACACTAACTGAATATGTAAACTATTTTAAGAACAATGACTTAAGAATATGAAAGCTATGGACAGCATTTGCGCGTGATTATTCAGTGAATTAACAGTTTTCTCTCTTAGTCTTCAAGCCTTTATATAGCCAATAAAATAATATATCTGTTGAGGGGGTACTCTTGGGATTTCTAGAAATATTGGCAGCTTGAACAATAACGTGGGGGACAAGATCGTGCGACGCGTCTGCCCTTTCATGGTAGTGGAATGAAACGTTGATTGTACCATGTACTGTTTCGTTAGATCACATTTGTCTTTAGAAGATAGAGTCTTTAGAAGATAGAGTCGTTAGATCACATTTGTCGGTCATTGTGATTGAAAATTTGCCAACACTCGATACA